ATTATATTTACTTATTGATAGTTTTTGACCAAACCTTTTCAATCGTACTTGACGCTAGTACTCGACACCCGACACTAGTTTTGCTCGACGCTAAACATGGTGAGCATCCACCTCCTTAGTGGGTTGGCACATAGAAATTAGCCTACGGCCTGGATAAAGTTGGACGAAGTGTAGGAAATATCAGCTACAGTCATGTTTCCATTTGCAGGTAATAAATTGCATTCTTATAAATGCTATCTTTTAGTTACAAAAGAAAAGGACACAAACACATGTAGACAAGAAAAATATCACCAATTTGGTCCAACGTGGATATGTGCATATGTATATGTATACATCAGTCCAAAAATTAACTGCAACAGTTTCCAGTGCAACATTTTTGTGACACCGCATTTTATCCTCACTAAAATTTGACGTCAAATTTTCTTGCTGGCTGAGATAAACAAGGCTTTTACACTGCATTATCTTGTTTAATACAGGAAATTGAATTGTTTTTTTTCAAGTAAACATTTTTGTCTGTTGTTTTGTTCCCACTAATTAGGCTCTCGACTTCAAGTACCGTGCAATTGTTGATAAATATTGGAACTTTGTAACTTGCTCGGAAAAGTGTTTCGAACATTACTACAAAAATTAGTGTAATAATAATGAACGATAGAAGAACTGTTTCACAAACTGTTGTCTTGGGATCACTGATCATCATTTTAAAAGTTTCGACATTACTGTCATCAAACGTTGGATGCGTCTGACGGCTTTAATACTTGCGCTGCAAGCTTAATGTGAGTAGGTAGGGTTATTTTAAACTCGCTATGGCTACATTCTGCAAATAATTGATATATCTAAACACACTTTACGTTTCGTGGGTAAAAATATACGTCTTAGTTAACATTAATCAATTGCGATATGCATAATGTAAAACGGTTGATTATTCATAAGCTAAAAGTTCAAGACCATGTGGCAATAAAGATTTACCTAACTTTCCATGTGGAGTAACAAAGTAACGCTGATTTATAATTTCACCTACATTCTTCTGCAATGCTTTCGTTCGCTGAGAAAATATTAAGGGTTTACAGTCAATATTTAGGTAACGCTATGAGTTGTACAAACGTCTCAGCTTATACCTATTTAACAATAATAATACGGTATTAGTCTGGATATTTTGTTTTGCGCTTGCCACCAAAAAGGCGTTTAACTGGAATTTAACTACTTGTGCACGTCTGACACGTAATTCCACTTTGAGCGGCACGGACGGCTATAGCATGTGTCGTGGTATTTGATTTAAAACATGTTTTGTTTAGAACTTGCATTTATAGCTGCTGTGTGAAGAAACAAAGATGTTTCGTTTTTGGTCTTTGAAAGTAAACAGTAAAGTTTCGGCAAAAATATGCGTACAAATGTAAATATAATATAAAAATGATATTATAAAAAATATTCTTGTGTTTGCTGTTGTGCGAACCTGATTAGTGCAAGCGGGAAGTGCTTACAACAATAAAACAGGACATGTTAGATAATTTCGATCTTGAAAAATTTTCAAAGAATGAAATTTTATTTTGGCAGAATTTGAAGAGTTGGCTAAATTATATCTCCAGTGTGTTTTTGGTTATCCTAGATAATAAAGTGGACTGATGTACCAATATTAGCAATAAATACTCAACCAAAAAATAAGACATGTTTGCAACTTGCAGAATGCAATAAGAACAACGTAACAGCAGGGTACCAGAGCTGGGAGCTGTTTTCTTGCTCATTCCGGTTTTTTATACTGTTAGTCATTTACCAAAACAACACGGGCTGGGGAGCGTTTATAGGAAAAACAGTTACGCAAAATTCTGAATACAGACTGACCAATGCTGAACTTCTAAAAAGATCACTTTTCGTTTTTTTGCGATATATACTTAGTAGTTGTGATTTCGTTTTGGTTATTACGAGTAGTTGGCATGCGAGTCTGTCTATTAAGCTAGTAAATTAATTAGTAACCTCTGCAAGCCTATTTGTATTTGATTATTTTGAAGACGCGGAAGAAAAGATAGGATAATTACTTACAACGTTTCCGTCGAAATTTTGTTGCCCAAAACAACTGAAAACTGTATTAGTAACCTACCTCACTCACACACACCGAAGCTGTTAAACGAGACGAGTAAATTCTTCAGGCTTCCTCTGGTGAGAGCTATAAGGATAGCGAAGGTAGCGATAAAGCACGATAAGGAGTATCCATAAGGTACGGTTACACATTTTGTTTACCTGTATTCGCGTAACTGAGAGATTTGATTCTAATTCAAAGAGCACGCAACATGTGGTTCGAGATTGGCATTTGTTCTTTTAATGTTCAAAAGTTTTCAGCAGGCTATCGGTTAGCGTAATAGCACTGGTCTGTAAGTCTTATACCAAAAACCTTCATGTGTAGAATTAAACTTTCATAAATTTAGTCTGCTATTGCCTATGTACAGTAATGACAACAATATGATTTGACTGGAAAAGGCTTTTGTGCTTGCATTAGTGAGAAACTGAAATACTTAATATTTCTAGTTTCTTACCACAACAACAGCGCAGAATAAAAAAAGCATAATAGGAGAAATAATAACGACTGCAAAAGCTGTTCTTGGTTCTGTAAATTGGTAACAGTTATGACTCTTGTTGTGGTAGCGGTGCTGGTAGTGACAAGCATTGCGGTACTAGGAATGTACAACTTTTTAAATTTTAGCTTTGGGGCATTTGTGTAATTTTTTATTTTCAAACCTTTTCAGAGTCTCTTGATTTCTTATTTTTGGATATTTTGGCTTTTCGTTTTTTCAGTGTGTCTAATTTGTACATTTGTTTTTCGTTTTTTTAATGTTCCTAGATTTAAATTACAGTTAATTCTAATGATAGGAGGAAAGTGTCGCTAGCACAAGTTTCAAATTTTGCTAGTGCTTTATCAGCACTTAAATTTTCTTTATATTTAAGCATCCAATTAAAATTTTTTTAAAAATACTCAGAAAGTCTAGTTAAACTAAAGACCTTGAAGCAAGAACTGCGCAAAGATGCGTGCAGTTTTAGGGCCCGTTCTGGCATACACCTATCTATCTTAATTGCTTAGCGAGATTTGAGTTCAACCGGGGACAACCGCCTAATTGCATTAGGTCCCAAAATTGCGTTCACGCAGTACACCTATGCTAACGTTAATTACCTAGCTCTTAATTGGTAGATAGCACAAAGCAGTCTGAACAGTGCTTTGCTATCAAAAGGTACCTTTTGGTCGGCTCCGTAGACACAATGGTTAAGACGTATAGGAACCACTTGAGGTTCCTATTTTGTATTCATTTAAGACATTTACAATAGAAAAGATTCCAAACAATTAATTAATGGCTCCGTATTGGCCCGTAACCCATTTCCACATAATTTGAAACCGGACATTATCATTAACTGGCATTTCTGCTTCAATGTGATTGAACAGTTGCACCATTAACATTTGTAGTCCTAAAATTCCAATACTCGTATTTCACATTGTTGTTGATACCTTTTTGATTGCGTTTTCACGCAACTTTCCAATTCATAAAATTATTAACGGACATTCTGCTAATTCATAGTACGCCCCATCTGACAATATGAATATAGTTAACACATTATACGAACTTGCCAAATGAATGTCGGTTTAGTTACGCGCATACTGCATGGTGATTGCGCTAATACCAAACCACGTTCACTACCAGTGTTCCTGCACATACTACCAACCCCTAAGATCTGTACCACTACCAAGGCTCCTCCTCTCACCACTATTGTTCCTACTAATTAAGAAAAAACTGAAATTAGTTGATTAACCGGCAAGTCAACCTCGGTTAATCCCTCATTTTAAAACAGCTTCCATTACCCTAAATTGCTCAAACGTAGTGCTGGCGCACTGAATTGTAACAAATTTTGCGTCAAGTAAAAATGCATGCTAAACGGAACATTCACGACCTGTGAAAGGTTGTAAGTGTTCACTAGTCTCGTCAAACGAATTACGTTAACGCTTTTGCCAAGATTTTAAAAAACATGCAGAGCAATGAGCAATACATGGATTCACCCACCACCACGTGATAAAAAAAACAGCAAGAGGAAAATATCCGACCCGACAAATAATTATTGGTACGGAAAACGTGTTTTGTTAGAGCGAGGCAGATTAAAATTTTTTAACTTAATCAAAAAAGTAAGGTTTAATAAGTTTATACATGTAGTGGTTTTAACAAAATCTCTAGACAAACGAGCGCTTTGTACGCTCTTCCGCCTTCTGCTAAAATTCGTTCAATTTGCCAAAAGTAGTGAAAAACTTCGTTTACATTGTCTCAAGCTTTTAAGCTTACCAAAGTGCGCACCTACACACGCACGTGTGTAGGTGCTCTAAATTCGCGGCGCAAAGCGCCGCGGAATTTAACTTTGGTAAGCACTGGTAGTGAACGTGGTTTGGTAGTGAACGTGGTTTGGTATTAGCGCAATCACCATGCAGTATGCGCGTAACTAAACCGACATTCCATTTATTTGACGGCACCAGCCGACGGCCATACACATTGTTCAACATACTATCAATCTTTTACAAATAGCGGACACGTGAAGAAAGCATTGGTCGGGACAGAAAGGGTGGTTGTCGGTTGGTCTCGCTTAATGAGTAAGCCGTCAATAAGGCCGAATTCTCGCTGACTTCTATCTATCAGTTTTTCTATTGATGCACCGCCCAGAACGGCCGATTTCTTAGCAGTATGCGTGAACGCGGCGCGTTCCTCTAAATAGATGACTAAATAGGGAGAAGAACTGCGTTCACAGAGGCACCTTTGAATAGGTGCAATAAAAGGATCGTTTAGGCACCTGCGATAGTCAGCCATGCCTGCATGAACGCAAGCCGCTAATTAAATGTTGTCAAAATATCGGAATAAAACAAAGGCAAAAATGTAACACCCGCTTGCCAGTTGAACGTTTCCACACAAAAACAAATCGGCTGGTGCATGTGCTCACAAATGTGCTGGTTGATCAGTTTCACTTCCAAATCGCTGCTACGACGACAATATATTTTTCAATCTATACAGATATACAGTACATAAAATAGCTTGACTATCCCGTTATCATCCTTCAAAATTTTTTAAAAATGACGGAATCTGAACTCGATCTGAATGACACTTTGGAACCGGAAGCCGACGCTGTCAACGCCAAAGCACCATGTGAATCTCAGCAGTCTCGATCACGAGGTCCACGAGTTCCACCATTTACGGACCAGCAACACCGGTAAACTTTTATTCACACTTTAAGCATGTTCTGTGCAGTTAGTATTTATTACTGGAAACTTTAACAACATTAAAATATTAACTAGATGCTGATTATTTTAGCTTTATTATCACCAAGCGACTAACCATGAACGATAAATTCAACAACTGCAAACACAAGCGGCAGTATTGGGAAACTATAACTACGGAAATGAAAGAAATCTGGCCTGAACTGCCGCATACCTATGCCCACGTCCAAAAACAGTACGACAACTCTTTTACCACCTACAAGAGGGAGAAACAGGAACACTCCGGCACCGGAACTGAACCGTCTGAATGGCCGTTCTTCGAATTGTTTGACTCAGTTTTGCATTACCGCAAAGACGTCAGCTTGGAAAATACACATGGACGAAAACGTAAGCGGCTAACCTGTAGGCAAACTTTAATATATTCAAAAGCAAATACTTTATGCTGTAATCCGTGATATTATAATTATTATTGTATTTAATTCAATAATTTATATTAGTAATATTATAAAATTACCATTTATTGTTGTATTATCTTTTAATATTTATAAATCCTTTATTGTTATAGTACCGTTTAATGACCTTTATTATTGTATATTTTTAGCCTTTATAATGCACTTATATTTTGAGTTAAAGTAACTTCAAATTTTATTCCAACACATTTTTAGGGTCGTTTAAAGAAAGCATACGCGACATTATTCCGGCAAACCGCGGAGCGACGGGATTGCCGGAAACGGACGACATATCCGCTATGTGCGGGTATGATCCCGTCATTGAACAGGAAGAACGGGAGGCAGCAACCGCACCTTGGCGCATCAAATCTACGCCACCAGAAAAGAAACTCCGACCGGATGTTCGTGCACAGGTACACAATACTACTGTACACAACACACAGTACTTGTACTACCATATATATTTTGTGTTATATCTTTATGTTAAGCATTAATAATTGTAATACTCATTACAATACTGTGTGTAGTAAGTACTTGATATACTGTAGGCAGACTCATACGAAAAAACGACTGCGGCATACTTTGCGGTGAGTACTGGTAAGTGGTATGCCGCAGTCACTTTTTGGGGCCATTAACTTTGAATAGGCTACCTAGAGTTGGTATGCCGTGTGAGTCGCTTTAAAACGAATTCTATTGGCTAATGCTTACGAGCCAACCTCTTACTGCTTTTCTCGTTCCTATTGGACGAGCTCATGCTATTGCTATTGGGCAGCCCAGCTGCTCCCATTGGCAGAATTCGTGAAGGTGCCGTTTATATGCTCTCTGCGATTTGCGGTTTCATAACAAATTTTCCTCCCACCCGCTTCAAATTATGACGTTGCATAAAGGCATTGATTTATTAGAAACAGTTTGATTATATTATTACTTTACAGTTTTATAATTTTATTCACTTTCCCGTACTGAGGTACGACGGTCGCAGTATTGCAAACAGGAATTCCCGAAAGAAAAATCAATTCAAGCGAGACTGTACACTAAACCAATTCAGAGAATAAAATTAAGCACAACGAACAACAGTCATAAGCTGACAGGAATATTTAGAGAGTCTGGGAACCATTATCCTAATTAAAACATCAAACTAGAAGTACTCTTCGATGCTTCGATTAAAATCCAAAATGGTCCCAATCGGGAATTCCAGACTCCCGGCTACCTACAAGGCACAAGCAGGGCATATTCACTACACTGGAAATCTTATTCCGTATTCAAACAAAATCATTTTCACACCAGCGCCTGTCAGTTTTACATTTGTTTTATTTTGCATACAGATGCAACTTACCGTTTATTAATTTCATTCAGCAGAAGCGGCTTTCCCAGATTTAACTGCAAATGTAATGATGGAAATTCCCGAAATTCCTGTAAAGTCAATAAAATACAACTGCTGGATAATAAAATTCATATATGCGCATAGGTTTTCATTCAAATAAAATTTTATCAAATTGCATTTGTAGGACTTCACTTTTGTGATGTTAAACCAGTATTTAGACAATGTCACAATAAGCAAAGTGGCGCAAGCGTATGGCAGGAATTTCCGTGGGATAAAAGAATTTTTACCAGAAAATTTTACCTAAAAAGGGAGTGACGCATCCTTTCGAAAAATGTGCTTTCTTGGTCGTGGAAGTTGCCAGATAATAGTTATCGTAGGAGTTTGCAGCCAAACAGCAGACTTCCAAATGAACGCGATCCCGTATTGTTACTGACGATTGTGCGTTGGAACTCCAAGTTCCTCAACATTATCAGTGACGAACTGATCATGACAGGAATTCCCGAACAATCACAGCAAACCAAAGACAATCATATTCCAAAACATCACGAAACGACACAAGCAAAATGAACGTCAGGAACTATATTCTGTGGGTTTTTCAATTTTAAAATTTAAAATTCGACGTCTTAAAGCAGACTGCAACTGCAGAATGCAGACGTTGGGTTTACAGTACTGGTTGCTACGGGACTGAATGTGAGTGTACGTCACTGTACGTACAGACGTTCAAGTGGGCTGTACACGGCTGCCCGCTTGTTTGCAAGCCAATGGGAATTACAAAAACAACTAGATTGCGGCATAGTCAGCCGCATAGTAACCGGCATGTTATACCGCATACCACCTTTCTATTATGGGCCAAGTCGAAATTTTGGCGTAAGCTCAATTTTCGTGTGAGAGATACTTATGATACCGAAAATAACTGAAATTTTTAGTTGATGGGTAAGCTGGAAGCGCAATCAGAAAAATCGGATGAAAGAATTGCTTCGCTGCGACTACTGCTAGCGGAAGATCGCGAAGAGCGCGCACAAGCAAACGCCGTGGTGATCGAGGAGTGCAAGAAAAACCGGGAGACAAGTGAAAAGCTGATGAACAAAATTGATCAGTGGTTAAAGATTGGCGGTTTCAGTACTGATAGTGAGTAATTGTACAAAACGTTTTCACGCATGAGCATATTCTAAGCGCGCTACAACTACAGTTAACATTTGATCGTAAAAACATTTAATGAGATCTTGTTGGTTGTTTTTCGGACGTTCTAAGTATGCATACTATACTACGAAATTTTAGTTTCTGGGCTGCAATAGCATTTTTCAAACATTTATTATACACTCACGATGGTTGCTTGCTCATGCTTGTTGCATTGTTCGATGATTTTGGTTTACGATAAACGACGTTACAAAAACACGTATTGGGTATGCGGTAATATTACACTAAACACCCACTTAAAATCTAGGCGGGAATACGGTTGTCAAAAAAATCGGAAAGAGGGGTTATAACTCGATAATTACTTCCCGCCCAAAATTTTTTTCATAAGCGTTAAGCGCTTCGCTGTAACTGTACGATCTTCAGCAGGCGTTTCGACAGGTACATCCTCATTGTAGCCCTGCTCAACAATTTCCGCCGGTGTATCATCGAAGTCAAACAGGTCCAGATGTCCAACGCATATATTATGGAGCAGACAGCAGACAAGTATTACGAGATTCACTGTGTTCATATCGCGATACGGAATGTGGAACATAATTGTCCACCTTCCTTTTAGCTGACCAAACGTTCGCTCCACACAACTCCGTTTACACGATATCATCCCATTGTAGTGTTTTTTGCTCCGGTCGAGTGTGCCATCGTCGCGAAATGGCGTAATCAGCTGCTGGCTGAATGGGTACGCGCTGTCACCCAGCAGCGTAGCGCTGGGGGGCAACCACTGCGACACTCCCGAATTCTTGTACACAGTTGCATCATGTACACGACCGGCAAACCCGAATACAGCGTGTAAAATTTCGCAAGATGGGGAAGCAACTGCCTAAATTTTAAACTAAGTTTAATTCAGGATAACATAACTTGAAAATGTATTGGTATTTTATTTCAATTTGTATTACGAGTGCATACTATAAGGTGTTGAAAATTGTTAGTATAATATATCGATACCTGTAAGATAACGCTGTATCTCTGCTTCCGGTTGTAGTAACCTTCTGGGCCCTCAGACGGGGCGTTAATATAAATATGCGAACCATCCACGGCGCCAATAATTTTTGGACACCAAACTGCGCCTTTTTCACGAAAAGCAGTGCTGCAGTCTTCCGCATATTTTTCGACTTGGGCAGACGTAAGGGGTTGGTTTAATGAATCACCAAAACGTCCCTTCATAGCATTCAAAAATTTTGCAAAAAATGCATAAGCAGTTGACCTCCCGATGCCAAAAACAGCAGAAACCACTGTGAAACTCGCACGATGTCCAAGAATGTATAAGGAAACTGCTACTGATAAAGTAATGCAGTTATTTGTGAACACCCAATCAGTCGCAGGCATGTCGATGGAAACTTCGGGATATATCAGTGGCGCCAGTTGTTCACATAAAACCTGAAATGTGGATCGATCCAGTCGAAAGTGGCGGCGGAATTCTTGGTTGGGAAAACTAAAAATGTCATTATTGCAATGACCGTAGTGCAGTGGCTATCATTAAAGCGCCAACATCGCGCTCATTACACTCTACTTGTGTCTTTTGGTGCAAAATTTTGTCTTGAGCTTTGTAGATATACCGTCAGTATATAACAGCGAGTTTGTCTCGTGCAATTTATATACTTAATAATTATTTGATGCCGTATAATTTGCACAAACCTCAGCATTTCGGTCACCGAATTGAAACGGCCTTTGCGATCAATTGGTGTTCGGATCCGTCGAAGCTCATCCGCAATAGACTCTTCTCCAAATATATCGTTAGTCACGACATCTTCGACAATTTGTGCGATATTTATTCCGTTTGTGCAAGTCATATTGGGATTCAGAAGTTCTGCCGCACTGTTACATAACTTTGCACTTTCGGCCGCCGAAAATGCGGCAAGTTCGTATAATGTGTTAACTATATTCATATTGTCAGATGGGGCGTACTATGAATTAGCAGAATGTCCGTTAATAATTTTATGAATTGGAAAGTTGCGTGAAAACGCAATCAAAAAGGTATCAACAACAATGTGAAATACGAGTATTGGAATTTTAGGACTACAAATGTTAATGGTGCAACTGTTCAATCACATTGAAGCAGAAATGCCAGTTAATGATAATGTCCGGTTTCAAATTATGTGGAAATGGGTTACGGGCCAATACGGAGCCATTAATTAATTGTTTGGAATCTTTTCTATTGTAAATGTCTTAAAATGAACACAAAATAGGAACCTCAAGTGGTTCCTATACGTCTTAACCATTGTGTCTACGGAGCCGACCAAAAGGTACCTTTTGATAGCAAAGCACTGTTCAGACTGCTTTGTGCTATCTACCAATTAAGAGCTAGGTAATTAACGTTAGCATAGGTGTACTGCGTGAACGCAATTTTGGGACCTAATGCAATTAGGCGGTTGTCCCCGGTTGAACTCAAATCTCGCTAAGCAATTAAGATAGATAGGTGTATGCCAGAACGGGCCCTAAAACTGCACGCATCTTTGCGCAGTTCTTGCTTCAAGGTCTTTAGTTTAACTAGACTTTCTGAGTATTTTTAAAAAAAATTTAATTGGATGCTTAAATATAAAGAAAATTTAAGTGCTGATAAAGCACTAGCAAAATTTGAAACTTGTGCTAGCGACACTTTCCTCCTATCATTAGAATTAACTGTAATTTAAATCTAGGAACATTAAAAAAACAAAAAACAAATGTACAAATTAGACACACTGAAAAAACGAAAAGCCAAAATATCCAAAAATAAGAAATCAAGAGACTCTGAAAAGGTTTGAAAAATAAAAAATTACACAAATGCCCCAAAGCTAAAAATTTAAAAAAGTTGTACATTCCTAGTACCGCAATGCTTGTCACTACCAGCACCGCTACCACAACAAGAGTCATAACTGTTACCAATTTACAGAACCAAGAACAGCTTTTGCAGTCGTTATTATTTCTCCTATTATGCTTTTTTTATTCTGCGCTGTTGTTGTGGTAAGAAACTAGAAATATTAAGTATTTCAGTTTCTCACTAATGCAAGCACAAAAGCCTTTTCCAGTCAAATCATATTGTTGTCATTACTGTACATAGGCAATAGCAGACTAAATTTATGAAAGTTTAATTCTACACATGAAGGTTTTTGGTATAAGACTTACAGACCAGTGCTATTACGCTAACCGATAGCCTGCTGAAAACTTTTGAACATTAAAAGAACAAATGCCAATCTCGAACCACATGTTGCGTGCTCTTTGAATTAGAATCAAATCTCTGTTACCCGATACAGGTAAATAAAATCGGTAACCGTACGTTATGGATATTCCTTATCGTGCTTTATCGCTACCTTCGCTATCATGATAGCTCTCACCAGAGGAAGCCTGAAGAATTTACTCGTCTCGTTTAACAGCTTTAGTGTGTGTGAGTGAGGCAACAAAATGTCGACGGAAACGTTGTAAGTAATTATCCTATCTTTTCTTCCGCGTCTTCAAAATAATCAAATACAAATAGGCTTGCAGAGGTTACTAATTAATTTACTAGCTTAATAGACAGACTCGCATGCCAACTACTCGTAATAACCAAAACGAAATCACAACTACTAAGTATATATCGCAAAAAAACGAAAAGTGATCTTTTTAGAAGTTCAGCATTGGTCAGTCTGTATTCAGAATTTTGCGTAACTGTTTTTCCTATAAACGCTCCCCAGCCCGTGTTGTTTTGGTAAATGACTAACAGTATAAAAAACCGGAATGAGCAAGAAAACAGCTCCCAGCTCTGGTACCCTGCTGTTACGTTGTTCTTATTGCATTCTGCAAGTTGCAAACATGTCTTATTTTTGGTTGAGTATTTATTGCTAATATTGGTACATCAGTCCACTTTATTATCTAGGATAACCAAAAACACACTGGAGATATAATTTAGCCAACTCTTCAAATTCTGCCAAAATAAAATTTCATTCTTTGAAAATTTTTCAAGATCGAAATTATCTAACATGTCCTGTTTTATTGTTGTAAGCACTTCCCGCTTGCACTAATCAGGTTCGCACAACAGCAAACACAAGAATATTTTTTATAATATCATTTTTATATTATATTTACATTTGTACGCATATTTTTGCCGAAACTTTACTGTTTACTTTCAAAGACCAAAAACGAAACATCTTTGTTTCTTCACACAGCAGCTATAAATGCAAGTTCTAAACAAAACATGTTTTAAATCAAATACCACGACACATGCTATAGCCGTCCGTGCCGCTCAAAGTGGAATTACGTGTCAGACGTGCACAAGTAGTTAAATTCCAGTTAAACGCCTTTTTGGTGGCAAGCGCAAAACAAAATATCCAGACTAATACCGTATTATTATTGTTAAATAGGTATAAGCTGAGACGTTTGTACAACTCATAGCGTTACCTAAATATTGACTGTAAACCCTTAATATTTTCTCAGCGAACGAAAGCATTGCAGAAGAATGTAGGTGAAATTATAAATCAGCGTTACTTTGTTGCTCCACATGGAAAGTTAGTTAAACCTTTATTGCCACATGGTCTTGAACTTTAGCTTATGATTAATCAACCGTTTTACATTATGCATATCGCAATTGATTAATGTTAACTAAGACGTATATTTTACCCACGAAACGTAAAGTGTGTTTAGATATATCAATTATTTTCAGAATCTAGCCATAGCGAGTTTAAAATAACCCTACCTTCTCACATTAAGCTTGCAGCGCAAGTATTAAAGCCGTCAGACGCATCCAACATTTGATGACAGTAATGTCGAAACTTTTAAAATGAAGATCAGTGATCCCAAGACAACAGTTTGTGAAACAGTTCTTCTATCGTTCATTATTATTACACTAATTTTGTAGTAATGTTCGAAACACTTTTCCGAGCAAGTTACAAAGTTCCAATATTTATCAACAATTGCACAGTACTAGAAGTCGAGAGCCTAATTAGTGGGAACAAAACAACAGACAAAAATGTTTACTTGACAAAAACAATTCAATTTCCTGTATTAAACAAGATAATGCAGAGTAAAAGCCTTGTTTATCTACAGCCAGCAAGAAAATTTGACGTCAAATTTTAGTGAGGATAAAATGCGGTGTCACAAAAATGTTGCACTGGAAACTGTTGCAGTTAATTTTTGGACTGATGTATACATATACATATGCACATATCCACGTTGGACCAAATTGGTGATATTTTTCTTGTCTACATGTGTTTGTGTCCTTTTCTTTTTGTAACTAAAAGATAGCATTTATAAGAATGCAATTTATTACCTGCAAATGGAAACATGACTGTAGCTGATATTTCCTACACTTCGTCCAACTTTATCCAGGCCGTAGGCTAATTTCTATGTGCCAACCCACTAAGGAGATGGATGCTCACCATGTTTAGCGTCGAGCAAAACTAGTGTCGGGTGTCGAGTACTAGCGTCAAGTACGATTGAAAAGGTTTGGTCAAAAACTATCAATAAGTAAATATAATCTTTAAGAGCGCATATGGCAGTAACTATCGTGCCAACGAACTAAGAAAACACGAGCAACCAAACAGTGGTTGATGTAAAACCAAATTTTTAAACCTTTAAAGGTAAAAATTGTGAACTCATGCTCATTTTTTATGGAAGCAATTTACTAGTCTTCGCTTTGCTTAATGACAATTTCCTGACCTGACGTACGATAATTATCACAACTTCTTACTCAACAAATTATTGACCAACAGTTCACTTTTATGCGGTTTGCTACATGACCTCTTGGAAAACCGAGGATTGCTCTCCAAGGCACATATTTTGAAAATAAGAGTAAAAATGTCAAAGTGCAAGCCAAAGGTTGTTGTGGATATTGACTCGTTTATGGCTAAATCGAAAAGGTTTATTAAGCAAATAAGAGTGTGTGATTGTGGCACTGGCCTAGACTATTGTTACTGGTTTACCATTCCTGCAAACCTTAATCGTTACCGAGCCAACATTCACAGCCAGTCTTGACACTCTCATGGGTTTGTGTAGTGAGTAATTCAGAATTTTTTAGTAAAGATTGGAGAACGCTCAGTACAACTGACATTTTACACAAATTAAATTTGGAAAGCAGGGCTTCCGGAGCATATTTCACTGAAGTCATCAGTTTCAAAGAACTTGGTTGTCCTAAGTGCAAAGATCTAACCACGCAAGCACAAACAATACTTTTGAAAGCAAGACGTTTGCCAGCTGGCTCAACGGCGTAGAAAATTATGTTATTACCACTGGTCCATTAGGTGTGAGATCCACTTGAAGCACATATCCGAATGCGCAACACTAGCCCATTATGGACCTCTAAAGCTGATTAAACTGCTTCTTTGCTTCATGCATCCGTGCAAATCATGCACGGCCCCCATGGCAATGTGTATAGTCGACAGCCTGTATCAACGCTAACCGTGCGGATCGGTGTGCTCGTAACAGTAATGCCTGTGGTCAATACGAGTCCTACCTAGATCAACTCACCACTACAAACCCCTAAAGCGAAGTACTAATGGGCCGCAACTTTGATGATGAATCGCGTCAGAGTAAAACTAATGTGGTTGCTCTGTGACTGCGTTCTTGTGTATGATGTAGCTTCGTGCTAATTTTAACCCACAGCAATTCAGTGACATGTTGTTTTTCTTCCCTTTTGGTCGCTAAACGCCAACCTAAATGGGCACCTACAGCAAATCAAGCTTTGTGGATGTCCATCGTAGCCATCATATACTACTAATACTACTTCCACAAACCAATTTCCTTTCCTGGACTCAATTCAGCACAGCATATGTTATACACAGTGTCTCAAATTTTTTAAAACATTTTAAACCGTTTTTTTAAATACATCGCTAAAAAAGCAATGAGAAGGCAACACTTTGCCACGCCGTTTGAGTCACCGAACTGCACCATAAAACGGCAGTCACCGCCATACAGGTACGGCTGCGTTGTGGGTGTGCAAGCGGTAAATGTGCATAATGAAGCAAAATCAACCGAAGGAAAAATTTTAAAAGAAAAAATAGACTTATTCAAATAAATGTAAGTGGATCATCATTATCTGCGCAGCCGCATAAATGTGGTAGTAACACTGGTGGAGTGCAGTGGATCGGGTGGCATGGCGTGTAGTTCATCACGTTTTTTTAACGACGTTATTGCAAGGACACCGTTTCAAACTGTAAGAAATTATAGGTATTGCGCATAAAGTACGCTATGTTGAAAAAAGTAAGGGAAAAGGCAGAAGGAAATCGGTTTGTAGAAGCAGCAATACGTGATGGCCTCTTTCAACAACCTTCACCCATCCACATACTGCAGCCAGTTCAACGACCATATGAGTGGTGCACGTATGAATTACTAGTGTTTTGAAAGTAGGTACTTCATAAAACGAACGAGTATTGTTAAAAATTTTAACACTAATTTTACAAAACATTAAGAAAAACAATTACAGATTTTGTCTAATTTTGTACAATTATGGCAGCGTAGTCGTCCGTCAGATTTGTGATTGGCAAAAAAAACTGTTTATTGTTAATTTTACTAAACCATGCTCCATAAGTCTTCGTTATACTATACTTCTTACAGAAATTTCAGCAAACGACAGAATAAAACCATGCGCTAGCTAAGCGTTTCGGGTTTTTTTACATTTTTTCAAATTTTGGCAATTTTTTGAACGTTTTGCCTGATATAGCCTTTAATATTTTTGCTTCTTGGCTAATGCTGCAAGATTACCCTATCTTGCAATGTCAGCATATTGTCCTAACTGTCAACTTTGCAGGATTCGTTTTCCATGGCTTTCGTTCAGCTGTGAATATTGGCAATCGCTTACTGTACCAACTTATCTGCCAACAAAGGCTGATAAACATACTTCTACAATATTAAACCTCAACAAACGATATATCATATAGTACAGAATTTTAGAAATAATTCGTGTCGCCTTAGCAGTAAAGCACGACAGTAGTGCACCCTTTTATCATATGGAAAATGCTAGCGTGGTGGCGTTATAATCTAGATGTTTTTCAACGCCCGACTATCACTTTTTTCTGATGCGAAATTCATGTACCCCCTATTTCTGGCATCTTTCGAAAATTTGTGCAAAAAATTTTTTGTCTAACATCTCGACTTAGAGAAACATTTTATTTCTTATTGATTGTATCTATATAGTTCTAGATGCGTAAGATTTCGCAAAAAGCAGCGGTAAACGACTCAGCTCGCAGGAAGTATATAGTTGTTGCAAAATCATTCGCAAAAACATTCTGCTATAGTAGTAGTCAACGTTCGTTACCCTTCGTTTTGTGGAACAGAAATGTATGCTAGCAACAACAATGAATCAGATATCATTGTTAGGCTCGGCAAAGAACAAATGTTTTCATGCTTTTATTTATCAATTTTTACATAATCAGAGTAGTAACTGTTTGTAATTTTGATAGAAGTTTAATTTTGTTAACAAACTCAAATATCAGTTAACCATTTGTGTACAATTTTTCATTCAACTGTGATCGCATACGTTTCGAGAGCACCATGCACTATGCAAAAAGCATTAACGGCTATCTTGCAAGACAGCCTTTTCTTATTTGTACAGCAATTCGTACTGTTAAATCAGTACTGATGGATAACATTTATTTTGCGGTTAAATTTGCGAAGTCATTTTTCGGTTTCCTTTCTGGAACCAATTTTTGTTTAAGCAAAAAACTGATAATACAAGCCAGATTTCATATGGTTTGCGTAAAAGAACAGTAAGCATTAAACATTAAGAGGTTACCCTAACAAGCATAGGAACCCAGTTGTCTTTGGGGTCCAGACTGGTGTTTAGGCTTAAAGTAAAGCTTGGATTAAATTGCATTTTCATTCCATTCTTTGCTACCCCACTGATATAAAAGATAAGATTTAAAAACCACTCAAAAGTTATTAGAAAGCTAAAATGCACTCTAATAACGGTTTGCCTCAGCAGATAATGCTCATGTCTGCGCTTTTAAACACGAATCACAAGCATTATGCTTTCGTTTTCGAGCATCGTATTCGGTTTTCGAACATTGCTTTTGGATTTTGAACACTATGTTCGTGTTTTCAATGAGAACCAACATCAGGAGAGTTAACATGATGCACCAAGACAAACGGATCGCCATAGTGCATCCCAGCTCTCTAATAATTTTGAGTACATTTTAAATCTTATCCTTCATATCAGTGAGACTGCAAAAATGGAATAAAATAGAGTATGTTCGAAGCTTATTTTAAGCCTAAGCACCTGCCTGGAATCCAAAGACAACTGGGTCCACATGCTTGTAAGTGCATTACAATGGTATGCCACGCCACACTATCTTAGCCTTTCAAAAACTAAAAAAGTTAGCGCACGCGAAATATTTCAATTACAGTCATTTACTCATTCTTTTTTAATGTAATAACGTAGTAAGTTATTTGTAGTACTGCAATTAATAAATCTGTCATTTTGACAACGATTATATATAGTGCAGTGGCTATGACGACAAGCGCCAACCCAGCGCTCATTGCAGTCCACCTGTACCTTTAAGCAACCCATATTTTTAAATCCGGCTTGTAACCGAAAAGCAGTAATTTGATAAGAATATATTTTTGTAAATACTTTGAACATACCATTCTATAGAGAAAAAAAGCGGCTATACAAAGTACTTTTTTTCAACAGGGTTAGTATTATCATTCTTTTGTAATAGTTATGTAAACTTAGTATTGCAAAGCATTCCGTTACAAATACGCGCGCTCATCATATCAGTTTGACAGATCAATGTTTTATTTAGCGGTTGTATAGTGTGCACATCTTACTACAGCATGATTTCTGATTTTGGCTTTACAAAGTCATAAAATTACTACTTAATGATGTTTTACCTCAATTGCAAATAAAAAATCCTTCAGCGCACTATTTGGATGCAAAACAAAACTTTTTAGTCGCTAACGTAGTTGCGCGAAGGCAGGATAGCGCTCATGGTTGAGCGAAGATCCGTATCTCTGATGCGCCGATGGGTAGGGTGCCTGATGTACGCGTGGGCACGGCGTGGAACGCTTTGTGTACTGTTTATTTAACCATTACAATAAAATGGTAATACGAGTACGTACCCCGTTTTAAAAATAGTACTTTGCAAAACCGATTTTCTACACAGAATGGTATGTCTCAAGTATTTAAGGAATGTATTCTTAATAAATCAATGCTTGTGGCTTGCAATGTATTAGCAGTTAAGCTCAAATTGTATACCGTTTACGTATAATACTGTATGGTGTACATTATTGTATACTTTACTCATCTTACTAAGATGAGTCTCCTGTCACACAACAAGTTGTTTACATTTTTTTGCGGCGTGAAACAGCGCTCGAATATCAGCGCGACTACCTCGTCAATAATGCCATACAGCCTGAGCGGCTTGAATAATAAACTATTTAACACTATGGTACTCATGTACAATACATATGCTTAGTTGCAAGACAATGTAATTACATCAACTTTTAAAAAGTCACTGCAGTGTGTAACAAAATATTGTACATTTAGGCGTACGTGAATTGCGCCTTATGATGTACACTATACACTACTGGAAGACTTATTCTTACTATCTTTGGCTGTTCAGCATGATCCTGTGTATACATTTTTTTTGTGGCATGGTGGAGCACTTAAATTACGACGCTACTGGCGCCTTGAAATTCCATTAAGTTAAAAATTGCATTATTATTTCTACAGTTTGAGGATTATGCTCATTTATTTACAGGAAAACAGGTATGGCTGTACCATGAACTGCCCACTTTCATAACTGTACTTTTGTTTTGCGATAAATGTAACAGTTGTTTCCAGCAGCTTAATGCGTGCACGCAAGCTAGTATGTACGTGTATGATAATCACGATAATCCTCTAATCTATGCAGTTGATAACACAAACTAGAGTCTAAATTTGGTAATTTTTACGGAATTTTTGCATTGTATTTATGACGTTAAAAAGTCATGTGTCACACATTTTAAACGCCATTGGCAAATAATTGCTAAATTTCAACAAAGTAACTTAAAAATTTATACCTTGGTCACGTGATCTCAAATTCACATGGTTCAAATATCACTCAACTCAGGGTTTTTTTCTGAACAAAAATAGCTGTAACAAGTTCATTTCTGGTAGGTACTTGTAAGATTGACTAAAACCTTAATTGATTAATTAGTGTAATTAACTAGTGTGTAAACTAAAACACTTGGTTGCGATAAATGCAATGGTATTTTAGACTATATGTGTGACGTCATAAACTGCAATCCGGACGTGACAAAATCCAAAATCCCTTTGCGGGACGCCGTTTACTACTATTATCGCCGTTCGGAACGGAAAGTCCATTTCAAGCGCTTAATGGAATGTGTCAGATGGGTATACATGACCACCGAGGAGGTACTGAAATGCGTCGATATGGAGCAAGAACTCGTACGCAGTAACGATGTCCGCCCGGTGCTGATCGATGCAACTTGGTAATGTTGACTTGTTTTTATCGTTTGCGATTGGACAGAACAAATTACGTTCCGGTTTGTAGGTACACAACCTTGAAATCCTATGATGTCACGTGGAGAGACTATCCCATACCGTTGCCTCGAGTCAGGTTTCTGCGGCACGAAGATCCACAAAGCGTTGTCAACCGAATTCGGGTTTCCTTGGCCAGCAATCGCCATCCGTCTTTCGATACTTTGTGGCCAACACGAGAAGCAAAAGTAACAAGCTTCGCATCCAAGTGGAATTTCCAGTTACAATTTTTATGGTTGCAGCATCGACCCGGCTCTGGACGGTCGAAGATGCGGAGTTTACCTTCTCCGGGACCACACGGCAACCGGTTTTCGAATGGTACGAGGACATCAAATACCACAAAATCCCACCGCGTCTGCAGAAGCGAGAGTGGTGATTTCCTGATGGAAAGCGTGTATGCAGAGGCTCCTCGGCGCTCCTCCATGTCCGGCGTGGAATATTTCAGCGGGGAGAGAGGTCCATCAAAGCGCCATTATCACCACCGGGTACGCGACCGGCTTCTCCTCCTCGAAATATACCACGAAGAAATGTTAGTCGCTCTCACCGTGCAACTCACGATGGGATCGCTGGTCGCAAATCGCCTGGTATACTGCAGGTAGCGAAAGTCAAGCTACAGCAAATTCGTCATAGCGCTCCGACTGTTCCTCCTCGACCTTATAAAAATCGGTAGCTTTTGGGGCTTTTTATTGCAAATACGAAATACTTTGGTAGGCACTGTCGCCACACATTTTATTATCATGTTTGCGAGTATTGCCGGCGGCAACAAGAACCTTGCTTTTATTTTAACTTTGATGCGTTAATACATATTTTGGTGCTGTTTTTGAGTGTGTCTTTTATTAAAAGCAGAAAGATCTGGCGGCTAACACAATTAACTTTCTCAGTAGATATGAAATATATTTCACACTGCAAAGCGTAATTTGCGACGTCGTCGTCGGCAAAATTAATCTTCACAACGTACTGGAGACAACCTACTTCTATTCACTGTGCACTGTTAGTATAAAGCGGTTGCGTTAAAAGTTTACACGCTTCTTTATGCTTGCTCCAATGCTTTACTTGACATTCACGACGACAATACCACTCGGCTTTACAGCTTGAGCATTTTCTGGATGCCGCATAGCCGCACCATGCACATTTTGCTGGCTCAGGAAGGATCGAATCCATAGACTCCGTACTGTAAATTTCTGACATTCTGTAACATAAAAATACCTTCTGTCTGTGGGAAAAGGAATGCTTTACCTTACTTCAAGTAAAAATAATAGCTTAACACAACAAATGTTGAATTCTGGGATCTACGAAAGATGTTCTAAAAGGTTTGCAAAAAAATTTCTTGCCCCTACCTCGCAGCAACCATTTTCAATAGCCGATGGTCATTACATGTCACATTCACGTGACACTGCGCTAAGTGATCCCAGCGATCCTTATAAGCTGAAAATAAAGCTTCTCTCACAACTGGCGCCTATAAAATACTTGGATTAGCATCGACCGGCATGGTTTACCACTAAGTTTTGGATTTAAGAACGCATACTTGCTCAATAATTAATCCTTTTTTAGGCATAGGTGTCTCCATAAATACCAGCATGTCCAAACATCGTTGAACGTCGACTAATCCGGGGATCTGATCTAACAACACTTCAGTCAATAGTGGTCGGATTTTTAGCAGACGGTTCTTTCGGTGCTCGTCCAGGTAATATTTTCCACGGAATTCCGATCCTAATATGCACTGGTGCAGAGCCATCCACATTTGACCTTCCGTCTGCGTCAAGCAGATGCGGTCGTCTGGAGCGATAGGCTTCCACTCGCCATCGATAAATTTATGCATCTGATCACCATCCATAATTTTCCAAGGGTTGCGTTCGATTAAGTCAGCGAGAAAAACAGGCACATCATGATGATCACAGATCCGGCAGACAGCACTCAGTGTGATGGATGGAGCATGTTGAATTAAATGACAAAGAATACCAAGTGATTTGGCTGAAAGTATCATTTCAATATCCAGCCGCTGCTGAAGTAACTGATGATGGGCATCGTCAGGTGTGTCCGATCTTTTTGAGATCCTGGATTTTTGTTGCTGGAAGTGCTTATCAGATCTCCTGCCGCAAGAAGAGTAAGTACCTGTATAGGAAAAGTCAACCCAACCACAAGGAATCATTCCGTGCGTGAAAAATAAGGCATGCCTAGAAGACGATTTCTAGAAAATTCACCCTGTGATCATTTTAACAATATTTGCGTGGCAAACGTCAACAAGGTCAGTCGCTCGTTCATCAAGATTTTCGCAGAATGTTGAGCGGAACGTGAGTGATTCCAGCAAACTGGCAATGGTGACCATGCTGTACATCTGGAAATAAGTTCTTCTGCAATAACCGTTATATAAAAATAAAGCCAAGAATACGAAAACCAGTAGATATAAATAAGGCTATCTACTGAACGGAAGTGTTACACCACGGGCGTCAATATATACTATACAAAAATTATGGGCTTATGTCTTACCACCATGTAAGTAGGGAAACTTTGAGCATTTTTTGACTGAACGAGATGTGCTACGATTGGAAAAACGCATTCCTTCCACAAATCGTGTAGAACTAGAAGTTCTACCAACAAGGGTGCCTAAATCAACAATCAGGCAACAATTTTGAATACGCACCCCACTAAAATTTTTTTCTACTTTATAGTGTGCAGAACATGACTCATACCTTGTCGAAGAAAATGAGTTTTTCTTGAACCGATTCTTCTGCTTGGATTCTTGCTTCAACAAGGGCCTGCATATTTAACTTCTCCAAGATTTCATGCTGATTAAACCACCTATCAATATTAGTATTTGTCATCTAACAATTATAGAAGAAAATAATGCAGCACCTAAAGCTATTTAAAGCAGAGCCCAACAAACTTAGCGGGAAGACCATAGACCTTCCCGGCCATCACCCCGGACAATGGAGCCTCGAGCCCGGTGCTAAGTAGCTCCGAGGTGTCACCGGACATGGGTGACCCTGTGCAGCCCCAACAGGGCGGCATGGCCGAATCGAAACCGAGGCAAGGTGACCCACAAGGCGGGCTCACCGACTAAGTCCCCACCGACCCTGGCTCAAAGCCCCAAACCAACGGGCAACAACCCAAAATCTTCAGACAACAGCCGGAAATCGGCGTTGCCGGACCCGAAACGACCTTCCGGGACTCCGAAGGCGACCACACCGGACCCGAGGACCCTCACCGGGACTCCAACTCGGACTTCGAACTTACCGAAGCCGACCTCGGGGACTTCCAAATCACCAACGGGAAGGTTGCAGTCGGCTAGAGCCTCGGACACCGAGGCTCGGACCCCCAACACCGGGGCTCGGACTCCGACCCAACAGGCTGGAACATCCAAAACACAGCCGGCAACCCCCACTTCCTCGGCTAAGAAAGCCGTTTCTCCGGTGAAATTCCGGATTTCGTCGGTTGCAACGGACATAGCCTCCATAGACGAGGTTGAGGGTTCGGTTACCGAGGTTACCTTAACCTCGGCTGGCGGACCGTCATTCCCGAAACCCATGACCCCCGGCAGTGAACCTATGCTGACCCGAGTCAGCCGGATGGAAGCCTCACAGGCTACCCGCAAGTCGAAATCGGCTTCACCGAAGGTTGCAAAGCCAACCACGGACCTTCCGGCCACACCACCGATGTTCGAACCCTCGGGCCTCGGGACAGACAAGACTCCATCACCGACCGACGATGTCTTCGACGCAACCGTGTTACCCAATAAGGTGACCGAGCGTCCGGACAGCAGAAAGGGCTTCAGGTTCTCGTCACCGAAGCAGTACCCAGGCTCACACACTGGAGCCTCGGACTTCACGCCTCGGCGGTACCTGACCAAGACCCCTCCGGAGAAGATCGACAACCCACAGGTCCTCCGGCAACGGATTTACGAGCTGCAAAATCAGCTCTTGGCCGGGCAAAACATCGTCGAATCGACGGAGAATGTTTTGTCCCAGACGGTTGCTTCGCATAAGCTGGAGCGCAAGAGGCTCTCCGCTGAACTCGAACGTGGGAACACCGTCATCGATGACCTCACCCAAGAGATTGAACGGTTAGAGGCCCAGTTGCAAGTAACTGAGGAGCCCTGCCGTTATGACCAGACCGAAGTCACCAGACTCCAGGACATGCTGGAGAAGTCTCGGGCCGAGGTGGCCACCCTGCGCCAGGACTTGGAGCAGCGGTTACAGGCCCTTGGCTACTCCGAGGCTGGCTCGGCCGAGCTCCATAACATGTTCGGCCGGGTGGATGAGTATCGAGAGGAAAACCACCACCTTAAACAAGGCATTATCGGCTTGGAGGGAGAAATCGACGAACTCCATTCGGAACTCGACTTCCTTCGGACAGCCTATGAGAACCTCCGGTTGAACCAGAACGACCCGGAGGGTGTAGCCGTAGACCTTCGGCTATGCCAGGCCCAACTCGGCCAGCAGATTCATGCCTTCACCACCCATCTCCAGAACGAAACAGCCCGGTTCGAACAGGCCCGCATCGAGAACCTCGCAGTCATCGAGGCTCAACGGGCCCGGATCATACAGCTAGAGTCCGAAAAGACCCAGCTGGAGACCGACAAGGATCGTCTCCTAAAGTACCAACAGGAACTCTATGACTTCGGCACGGATGTATCCAATAGAAGACCACCTCGAGGACTCGACGGAGCAACCTGGACTACCAAAGAGCAGGATAAATGTCAACAGATTGATGACCCTGCGCCGAGACCCCCCCTGGAACCCACCAAAAACGGGGCTCTCGGGACAAACTTATCAGGTCGGAATGCTTGGCCGAACCGTATACTGAGACACCGCCGCTGAAACACAGCCCTGAGCCGAACAGAAATACTTCGACGGCTAACCCCAACGCACCGACCCACTCAACTACCACAACAACTACGGCCTACGGAGGAACATCCACAACGATGATGTTCTCAACCGGAACAGGCCTGTAGCATCAACCTCAAACGGACAAGACCAACCCCGAGGCTCGAACCTCCGGGCCCCGGTAACCGGACCTGGCATGGGACTTCGACCGCCGGCGAACGCTTCGGTGGGAAGTTCGCAACCTAATTCGGGGAATTCCAACCGGGACCGACAACGTTCAAGCTCCCAGAACACGTACCCGCCGAGGATCGAAGTACAACCCGTATCGGCAGGGCAGCGCAATTAGGCTGACCGGTACGCCCCGGCTATCCAGATAACATACCACAGCAGCCTCGGCTAGATAACCGTGACCCAATAGGTCTGGTTGGCCCGGCGCTGTTGGCAATGCCCTCATCAGCTCCCAGCAAGGCAACATGGACCCTAGAGCCCCGCTGCCCCAGGCTGACAATATGTGGTATACCACCAGGGATGTGGCTCGATCAGAACCGAGTCCTCCAGCGGATACTGGGTATGTGGCACCGAATCAACCGCCGAGCCAGGGGCAGGAGCAAACCTGCCCGGACCGGACAGCCGCAACAGCCGGCACCCCTGGCAACCCGTATCCTCAACCACAGCCATACCCACCTCAACCCGCCCCTGCTGCGCAGAACCAGCAAGCGGCCTACCCAATAGGTTGGAACCCTCCGGTAGCCCAACAGGCAATGCCGGTAGCCCAACCCCGACAAACCCCGCCACCCGATTAGCAAGACATTGCACAAGCCCGACAAGAAGGCTACGAAGAAGGCCGGCGCCGTTACGAGGAACAGAATAACCGGATCCTGGCTCGAAAAAATCGAGCGGAGTTACCGAAATTTAACGGCGACGGGGCTAAGGTGGAAGGTTGGATCACAAAGATCCGGCGAATCTATCGCTCAGAGGCTGACGACGTTGCAATGACGAACGTCGCCTTTATGACGGAGCTGGAGGGCGCCCTTACTGGACAAGCCCTGGAATGGTACCAGAACCAGTCAGCTCTGGAACCTGAGGAAAATGGATGGACCGTCGACTACTGGCTGCAGCAATTTGCGGCCCGGTTCATGGACCCTGACAAACAGGTCACGGCTGTCGCGGACATCACTACCAGGAAGTACATGCTGGGGCAAGAGACCCCCGAGCAGTACTACGACGCCATTATAAACCTCAATCAACGAGGCAACCTCACCGATGAATTAGCGGTCTTCTACCTGAGGACGAACGTAACGGAACCGATCCTTCGAGCAGCCTTGGACGTGAGGATGCCGAAGACGACACGGGAGTTCCGGGACTACGTTCGGGACTTCACCCGGGGAAAGCCATGGTCACGCCGCCTGCCTATGGAAATAGCGGCCAACCGAGTCAGCCTCGGAGCCCCGGCTACGGCCAATCTCAGGGCCAGGGATACTCCGGCTATGGCCAGCCCCAACAGGGCTACAGCCAGCCTCGGAGTCCCGGCTATGGCCAGCCCCAACAGGGCTACGGCCAGAACTCCGGCTACGGCCAACCTCAGAACCAGGGGTACGGCTACGGAGGCGGATATGCACGCGGTGGAGCCTCGCAATACGGTGGCTCCGGCGGAAGACGTGGCGGCGGGAATCGCGGCCGCAGAAACTTCGGCAACCGCGCGGGTGGAGGCGGCCCAGCCCAGAACGCGCAGCGGCAGCCTCGGACACCACAACAAGAGGCCCGCCAGCAGGAGACCTATGTCGATCGGATGGAAGCCAAGTTCTTCCAGTGGACCCAGGACGGCACGTTTTCCTGCGGTCACTGCCTATGGGGCAACCACAACCAAGCGAGTTGCGGCAATGCCAATCTCCGGCTGGAAGACAACCCAAACCGGAGATGGCACCTGAATTGGAGGTACCGGTACGATAATGGATGGCCATTAGGTTCGGCGAATCAGAACTTCCCGAACATCGTACCACCCCCGCGCCCCCGTCAGCAGAATGCCGGCGGATTCGGCGGCCAAGGCAGCCCTAACCGGCAGCCTGGCCAGGGAAACGGAGGGAATCCCCAGAATGGCGGTCGACCCCCATTGGCAACCCCGCCACCAGCCCAACGGCCGCAACTGCCGCCGTCCCCGGCCCCAATAGGGGCGGGCGGGTGTCGGCAGTTGGCGGACCGGTCAGGTACATCCCAGGGGAAACGCTTAAGGTCGATGAGCTCCGGTGACTCATTCGACCTCTGTCATCAACGGAACCACCGGATAAGGATAACCCCACTAACCGGATTAACCTTTGGACACAACTCGGAACCTCAACGAGGATTTAGCCTCTGCAACGGTCAGCGAGGCCGCTAGAATCTTAGCGGCGGGGACGGTAGCCCAACTAGGCGCCGAACATCCCCGGTTCGGATACTCGGAGAACCGACCCGAACCTCGCCATGCCGAAAATGCGGCTCCCGGACCAGAACAGGTACCTGGGAGGATCGGCCAAGGAACCTGGATCCGATCGGCAGCCGGGACACAGAACGTGCCCGGACCCCCAAGCCCAGAAGGTGAAGCCGGGGATGTCGGCCGGAGAAACCGGACCCGACCAGCCGGGACGAGAAACGTCACCAGGCTGCCCGGACGGCTCAGTGCCCAATTAGGCATTACGAGCCACGGGCTAAGCGGAGAATCGGGACGCCGACCCGCAATCTCACAGGACGCCAGAATGACGCCTGAACCGCCCTTGGTAGGCCAACCAGGTAGACGGCCGGAGGCTCCGACCGACGAAGTAACGGAGTACTTCGAAGACTGGGAAACAGTACCTTAGGAGGCACAGGTGCCCGCCTACTGTCTGCAGTAGGAAGCGGACCTCTTCCAGCGACAACCGGCCAGAACTGCAACCGGATCGCGTACGTTCTTCAACATGCAGTATAACCTCTCAACCCTGCGAGAAGGTCAACCATCCATGGAAGAACGGATAGCAAGCCGGATATACCCGGTGGAAACCGCCGAATCGTTGATGGACGGAGTAGCTAAACGTT